GGTCTCGTGTGTGATGTGGCTTGGAGAACGTGCCAAGCTTCTGATATTGGCATGAATCTTGTTACACAGCAGTTGCATTCCCTCCTGTCGTAGGCCACTGCTTCCAAGGCCATGGGCATAGCTCGAAAGGATGCAGGCGGACCACAAATTGGATCTGTCGTGACTGGTGAGTGCATGGCGTCCAGTAAACCACTTACGCACGCGGGTATATGTAACTTTACCAAGTTGCAGCCTGTGCTTCAGAGTGAGTTGCTCAAAATTGAGGAACGAAAGTTTCGCACCTAAATACGTATGGCTGGAGGTCAGCTGGATCAGGGAGTGACCATGATGTCGAGGGATTCGGAGCCAGCGCTTGCCGTCTTGTACAACAGTATGTCTTTTCATGATGGTCTTAGCTCCGGTCCCCTCGATCTTAGCCAAAATGGCCGTCTTGTCAAACGAAACTTGCAATCCAAAGCCCTCTAAACAGTCAAGGATGCAGCCCATGTGTTGCAAGGCATCTGTAAACTGTTGTTTGCTCAACAATCGCCATTTGAACAGCAGATCGTCCGCATACGTGATCAAATGTTCACAAATCCAGGTGAAGGCCTCTGACCGTGTACCATTTGTGATGTTGTCACCAATGCGTTGACAAACATAAATGAGGAAAGCCGTCCACTCAAGCGGAGAGGCCTTGCATCCTTGACGAACCCCACGCTCAGGAGTCAGACTGCCCTCAAGTCCTCGATGGCGGACATGATACTGTGCCTGATGAAGCCAGCTCAACAAAACAGTGGAAAGTTCCGGTGGGCATCCACACAGATCAAGACCCTTGGGCAGATGTTCCCGTGGTAGTCTGTCATAGGCCTGTTTGAGATCCAGGGTCAAAATGAGGCCCCCACCAAAAGACGTCGTGGTTGAGGTCGTTCTCCAAGGACCAGGTCTGATCATCTGGCACAGGGTTCTAATTTCGTTGCAGAAGTCAAAGGCCATGTAGGTGAATGTACCGTTCGTTTTGCAAGAAGGGCGAGATGAGCGTCTTTCCATTGTTGAGGGATCTGGGATTGATGTTGCCAATGTTGTTGTATGTAAGCTGCCAACCATTGTGCCAGCGGATAGGCCAAGTACTTGACCACCACGCCAGGTAAGGTACCTGGGGCCACAGCTTTATGAGGTTTGACACGGGTGAGTTGTTGGTATAGTTCCTCTGCTGTCCATTGCACAGGTGCCCACCTTGATCTGTACGGAACCTAATACATCTTCTGGCCTGCTTCGGTGTCAAAGCCCGTACTGCTTCATAGAGACCCCGAGAGTCGTGCAAAGCTGCAGCCCTAGCCGCATTGTCAGTGATCTGTCGAACTTTATTTCTCTTCTTCTGCTTACACAGAGTTTGAAGTTGGATATTCAGTTTGTTGAAGGCTGACCAATGGGACCAAGCTCTCAGGATGCCTTGAAGACCAGGGCGTTGTGCTCTGGCCCACCAGGGACCGTGTTTCATGTTGCATCCATGTTGGTAGTGGGGATGGAATATCGGATGTCACCGCCTGGCTACATTTCAAGATCTTGTTCACCAACTCGGTCGGATGAGAGCTATCATCTTGTATCAAATCAGTAGCCTGTCCAACAAAGGTGGTCCATGCTGAAGTTTGATCTTGGGAAGCTCGAATGAGATTCTTTGAATGTTTGTTCATCGATGGAGCCATTGTTGTCCGCTTGTTGGCCTGATACCAAATCTTCCAGTCAGCCGGAAATGAGCCCACCAGAGGACGATGATCAGGATATGCACGTGCCTGAACAAGCGGGCAGGTTGGTAGGCACCTCGTTCGTTTGGATACAGCATCACTCTGTACCTTCCTCATGAGCAGAGAGTCAATGGTCGACGACCCCCTTGGTCCACAGTAACTAGGGGTGGAGTCATGTTTCCTTGTATTGGACAGTTGAAATTCATCAACAAACTTCTTGTAAGCGTGAGGCATCAGGAAAGCCGGGTTGAGGACCATGGCCAATTGTGGTGTTAAAATCACCTCCAATCACAAGCGTGTGACGGGCAGGAATACGTCTAAGCAAGGAAGTGAGTTTGGTCCACAGTTCATGTCTGGCTTTCAGGGGATGTGGTCTGTGAGCAGTTGGCCCCACCGGGAACTGGTAGAGATTGACCAGGTCAATGCAGTGATCCTTGAGGTGGCAGCGGACGTGAAGGAGTCGTCCATGGTGCAGATCCTGATAGCTCAGAGCATCCATAGTGCAGAACCCTGTACGGACCACAATCAATAACCCACCACCATCCTTCGAGAGTTCAGGGGATGGAATTATACTGTAGACATACGAACTCCAAGGCTCGCTGATCGACCAGTGAGTGCTCTGGATGAAGGCCACATCAAACCTTTGCAAGGCAACCCATTGGATCATCTCTGCATACGTGGAGGTGTTCAAGGCCATGGCATTCCAGCAAAATACAGTGAACCGCTTGCGTGATCGTTTGGTGGATGTCATGGAACCACTCACAACAGCAGGCTTCGTCGGTGGAGAACTTGTCAAAGAGGAAAGCATCAGTTGCCCTCTATACATAGCAAAACCATGCAAGGCAAGCCGACGATAGGCTCTTTTCAAACTACGTTTCTTTATCTTTTCATGGGTGGTGTTTTTCCCGTGGGAATCTTCAAGCCCTATGCCCAGAGTTTCAGGGACAGCGCGTCCTAACGAATGGGAAATCATATCCCTTCCAGGCAACCACTGGGCAGGTTGCCAACCCTTCCCTTTCCCACCATTCAAAACTTGCCAATCCATGCTGCGAGGCAAAATGGTGGGCCCGGAATTGGGACCGGGTGCAGTCAGACAGCTCTCGAGTAAGCCAGATCCAAGGCTACTCCAAACCAGTAGCAAGGTTGCGAGCCAGCAGCGCACTGGGCGCTGGGACGCCCGCAAGAAATGCTCCCAGTTCATCACTGACCGGATGGAAGGAGCATCGTGGCCGGTGCAGCCGTCTGAGCTGCAAAAGGCTGCGGGAGCAGGAATTTCGACCACATCACCAGGACCCCATCCATGGAGCTGATACATAGTATGCCGCTGGAAGAGCGTAATCCCCGCAACTGCTATAGCACCACCAGGTGGTCCTTGCATATTGCCAAGATATCTGCAGGGCCTGAGCTCTCTCAAAAGATAAGCTCCAAGTTTGAAGCTCGTCCTCTCCCTTCTAAAGGTGGCAATGATTCTGACATGAGACATCAATGCCTCAGAAGTCAAATTTCCCCAAATGTGGCGAATGATAGCTCCAGGCAATTGGATGACTTCTGGAAGAGCTCCTCCTCCTCCAGGGGCTGGTGCGACAGCAGGAAAGTGTGATCTAATCTCATTCCAAGCTCGAGTCGAAACCACTGTTGCTGGCGCTCCAGGCCAAGAATCTCTCCATCGCATAATACTTGCAGTGAAACTATTCTGACGATCAAGTCCCGGGCCTGCCGGAGCTGGCTCAGATGCGTCTGTCTCAAAGATGATTTGATTTCCATCAGCACACAAGACGAAAAAGACTGCAGCAGTTTCCAACGACACAGCGTTCCCAACCAAGAAGAAGTTGGTAGCGAGATTCCGTTCCAGAGCTGATGAAGCTGATCAGTCAGAAGTCACCCGAAGAACAGTGAAGCCATCCAGTGCAGGCAGAGTTCCGGGACTAGTATTAGGACCCACTGTGCCACCTGCTGGCACAGGGGGAGCTGCAGCTGCTCCTCGATACAACCGCTGCCCACCATGAGGTGTTGCTGCATTCTGTCGTGGCATTGATGAAACAGCCTCAATCTCAGCAAGCGTCTGAGCATGAGCCAAACCGCGAAAGTACAGGAGCATATTGACAGGCCTCGTCGAAGTGGGTCGCGCTGCAGCGCTCACAGCGACGAGTTGATTGGCTTGAGTCAGAGGAACTCTCGATCCAGCAAGACGAACCATGCTGCTTGCCTCAACGGGAACACTTGGATTCAGCACCCAAGAGTAGTCTGGTTGCAAGACCAGCAAATCCGTTTGCAGCAAAACTGGCTCCAATGTGTCCAACATATTCGGTAGAGCCAGTAGCATAGGGAGCTGAAGCAATCTAAAGTCCCACGATTCTTCCTCACGACCATAATCATACTGTGGATTCCTGAACATAATCTCATTCGACAATCGATACACTGAGCGAAACGAATCCCCAATGGCGAATCCTCCAGCAGCACCTGCAACCATTCTTTCCAGAGGTGGAGGCACGACAGGTAGGATATTTCCTCTTGTAGACAGGTAGTTTTCAGCAGCTGTCAGGTCGCCGAATGAGTATACGCTTGCTTCATGCTCAGTCACTTCATGCTCCGCTTGCTTCATGCTCAGTCGCAGTACTGTGCGGTCTTTGAAGTGCAGCTTTCGTAGCAGGCGCAGTACTTTGTGGACCTTGAAGTGCAAATTTCGTGGCAGGCGCAGTTCTTTGTGGACCTCGAAGTGTAGTTTTCGTCGTAGGCGCAGTACTTTGTGGACCTTGAAAGTGCTGATTTAGTGATAAGTGCAGTACTTTGTGGACCTTGAAGTGCAAATTTCGCGGCAGGTGCAGCACTTTGGGAACTTGGAAGTGGAGATAGAGATGGATAGATAGATTAGATTAGATTATATAGATTAGATTAGATCAGGCTAGAATAGTTTCTAGTTTAGATTGGATTGGATTAGAGTAGGTTGGATTAGATAGAGAGATAGATAGATAGATAGATAGATAGATAGATAGATAGATAGACAGATAGATAGATAGATAGATAGACAAATAGATAGATAGATAGATAGACAGATAGATAGATAGATAAACAAATAGATCGATGGGTAGATAGATGGATGGATGGATGTATGGAAGGATGGAAGGATGGATGGATCGATGGATGGATGGATGGATGGATCGATAGATAGATGGAAGGATGGATGGATAGATAGATAGGTAGAAGCCAAGCCATACAAAAATCCCGCCCACTGTGCTCTGCACCGCATTCACCATGAAAACCACCCCGCACAACAATGGCCTGGTGAAGCTGTTCGCATACTGCAACGGCCAAAAGAGCCCCAACCTGGGAGCCGAAACCCACGGAGGTTGGGACTGGTCGGACTGGAGTCTGGGACTGATCCACGCCCAGCACTTGCCGGATGAACTAGAAACTGTGAAAACTGGCCTAGGGAGTAGCTGGAGGCCAAATAGGTGATCATTGAATCATGAAAACGCTGAATGATTCAATGATCATTGGATGAACTCGAAACTCTTCGCACCTGGTTTCTCATGATTCGCACCTGGAATGAGGAAGTTCCAAAGATTTTCCCATTGAAATTGATGACACGAGTGATTTCCTCTGCCTTTCTTCTTAGGCAAAACATCTCAGCTCCGGAGACTGTAACTTGGCTCCTGGCAGCCGCTTTCGCGCCAGCTGGATGTAGAAGACACGGCTCTCCTTCGCAGAACAGCTCATTGCTGCAGAAGACGAACAGCTCGTGCGGCGCATCAGCCACAAAAACCTACCAAAAACAGCTTCAGAAAGCCAACAACTTTTGATAAGTTCCTATGGTCAGGGATTGTTGGACATCCTACCCCTAATTCTACTATAGAAAAGCAAAGCTGACCACATCATAGCATCTATAGTTCCTAGATCCTTCCAGCAAGCTTTGAACAAATCACCCTTAGAGGACTCAAAACCCTTGAGTCTATGGCAGCACAAGCAGCGGTTTACGCGTCCTCATCCCAAAACTGGACCACAGAGCCGCCGAAGACACTCACCTCCCATCAATATAGCTCATGAGATAGATTCATATACAAGACTGGACATCGTTGAACAGTGCCCGCAGTGCTTCTATGACGTCACTTCCACAAAAAGGCCACACTCCCTCTCCGGAAATCACAGATCAGGACAATGAAATAGATCCAGTACGGCCTACTGTTTGAACATGCATAATGATGCATATGTTGCTTTTTGCCATAGACTACCCTAATGGAGCTCCAGGAGGGACGTGCTCCGGTGAGCTGCTTCAGAAGCAGCTCACGCACCTTGGCGTAGAAGTCCAAGGCTTTGGGCCAAATCGCGATCCTCGACCTCGCTGTAGAAGCTGGTGAAGGCGAATGTCATCAACAAAAAGGAGTAACAAAACAGTCTTGACATGAGATTGATTGATTGATTGATTGAATGATTGAATCTGAGAGCGGATCTGGTCCCTTTTGGGGGTGCCAGTCGTCTGATTTGGAGCTTCTCACGGCGGAATGCATCTGGAATCCAGTCCTGGCCTCATGAACCGGTCCAGCAAGATGCAGCACAGAAGGGTGGAGACCAGAATGACCTCAGAATCCATGCCAACTCCGCAGAATCGGTGATCTCCATTGGACACCCAAAGAGGATGGAGGATGGTCCTGGTGGGTTCGGGGCTTCCAGTGGCTGGGTCCCGTGGTGCGACGGACCTAGGGAGCCCAAGATCAAACCCAAGGTTCGCCAGACTCAGAGACTGTGGAGCTGAGAAGTGATTCGTAGAAATTTCCATCCATGGACAGATCTCATACCCAGCAATCAGATCAAATCACGATCTGCTGCACTGGGTTCTTGGCCAAGAAGGGCAAAGCGTTCCTGGGATCGGCGGCATCGGTGGATGAATGCAGTGCTCTACAACTGTACCAGGTACTCGCAAACCCATTTGCCCTACAGGATCGTCCAGTTGTGCAAAAACCAACCACCCCAGGCTGGGGCTGCCCTCTGGGCCAACAAGCTGCAGGAATACGTTGGGGGACCCCTACAGGTCGTAAGGGTCTGGCAGCGTTCCAGGAGCACTGATGAATTCATTGACTGAGAGCTGGTGGACAAACAAGTGCGACATATTATTCCGACCACATACAAAAACATAGATACACATAGCGTAAAGACATGTCATTATCACGACCAACACCCTAAGCCAACATGTTCAATGTCGGCGGTGAAGACTGCAGGCACCAGGTCTAGATTCTAGAGTCACATCATCTTTGGAGATTGAATAAACTTCAAGAACACAATTGACTCAAGGATGTTCAATTAAGGGATTTGGGGAGATATTTTTATATGGATTTTGGAAAACCTAAGGGCTTTTCCCCAAACCTTTATTGGAAGAAACAGGCTACGATCTTCGTTCGTCCTCTCTGGACGTCATCGCGTTCTGGACGTCATCGGCGAGCTGACCAGCTGGATATGGATATGGAAACCGTGAGTCATCCATCTCGCTGAAACCCTCCAATCTGACAGCATGGATCCCACGGATCCCACAACCAGTGTATGTCAATATGTCCCTAACGTGGTGTGAAAGAGAGTGGTCCGAACCCGTGCAACCGGACTTGAGGTCCGAATCATGGGCGAGTGTCCATGTGATCACCACCAGGACTTCGTTGAGGTACTGGTAGGAGGCCAAAGCATCTGAGATTGCGATCTAGGAGGCCAAAGCATCTGAGCTCCGAACATCCTGGGAATTCAATCCATAAAGCCCCTTGACTCTAGAGGCAAATACAGGCGACGCACTCTAAGTGACTGCGCTCTTCGTCTTGCGTCAGAACTCAGAACTACACAGAATTACCTCAGCTAGGCGTTGTTCTTGCCCGCGAAACAGCAAAGGCTCACAAAAATCCTGAAAAACAAACTCACTGTAGTAGAAGCACTCCTCCACTTTGGTACCTGGCTTCCCATCGGTCACCCTTTTGAAGGCTTGGACTTGGATAACACGGCAGGTCAAACACCGGAATCCGACCCCGGCAACCTCTGCTCTTGGAACAACCTGATCGCCTGACGCATATCCTGTAGGTTTGGATTTGTGGAACCGTGGAACCAAGAAACATATTGAACACATATTTTCCAGGTACGAGAGGAATTGACCAACAAAAACACCTGATCAGCAAGATTAGGTAGGGTCCGGGCAACTGCCGCACACCTTCAACACTCTTCGGTACTCTTTTTGAAGCATATGTCGGCACATCTTGTGTAACACGGCCGGCATATGCGGCTATGCTGGTCAAGAAAATGGGCGAATGAAGGCATAGCTACTGCTGCTTGTCACCTGCTTGGCACATCTTATGCCTGGAGCCCAAAGTCGACCCCAGTGACTGTGACGGGAACGGTTCAACCAGCCTTAGCCATGAACCAGGGTTTCTGGAGACCTCTAGTCACTAGGATCCATGGTGGGTGGCTCTTTCTGCGGGTGTCCGCCATCTTTACAAATCAAACACACAAGCCGCTGGCCTCTTTCAGCTTCCATGTCTTCCCATTCATGATGCTTTGCAGTGGCCAACCTGGGCGGGAAACAGCCGTGAGGGGTTGCAACTGCACTGGTGTGGGATGTCAAGCATGCTATCAACGTGTGCAGTACGGTACACGCCCATTCATGTTTACAGCCACACAACTAACCACACATACACATTGATATATATATATATATATACACACAGGTGCGGCTCCAAACTAATCAATGGATAATTGCTACAAGTCTCATCCAAATTAGTGATGAAACAACTACATATAGTGTGGTTTTAGTATAGTGATCCCAACATAGATTCTTGAACAAGTCTTGAAGGCCATTCTACTAACTTATTCTTATTATGCTTTCTCTGCTCATGCTGCCGGTGTCCAAGAAGAGTTGGGGGACTGAGCAACGTTCGCATGGCCTGGTGTCAAACAGGAAAGAGTACAGAAGTCATTGAACCAAAATCTTCGCAAGCCCTTCCCAACTGTAGCCAAAACAAAAAAAACATGGTATCCAAAAAGAGCCTCACCTATGAATGCCTATTACTGCTATTTCCACCGAGCCTTGAACTTGGGGTGGCTAGGCTCGCGTGTGATCTTGTGTGTCAAAAGAACACCATGCCAAAAAACTCGGGTTCTGTGTGGCCAAAAAGCTGTGACCTTCCCCATCTCCAGGTCAAAACCCATCCAAACCTGTGACCTTCAGACCCCATCTCCAGGCAGATCCCATCCACCCTCATCCACCCTCATCCAAGTCACCTTTCGGTCCTGACAGGTGCCCCGGGTCGGCCGTTTGGGTCGCGGGTCAGGGGTCAATGCCGTATACCATATACTGAACTTGATGGCGAATGGGAGATCCGGGGAGATCAAGGGTATCCGCTGTATGAATCACTCATTGAATGTACTGATTGCATACTGAAGCAACAAGGGTCACTCATACTTCAACAGGAATCCTAGCTTGAAGAACTGACCTCCAAGAAAAACGTGGCTCTGTTCAGGAACAGGCGCTGCAGGCTGCAAAATAAAAAAAGAAACAAGCATTTTGGTTGATTGAATGATATTGAATGGATTGCATGAGCTATTCAACGACCTATTTCACATCAAACTGCGAATTGACAGTGTGTGGAGAGGATCGAATTCAGATAGCATAGCAATAGCATAGCATTATAACAGTCCTCCTGTCAGAGTATTTCCTCAACGTAGCCGCCACTTGCAACACCGTAACCACCCGCCACCATCGGAATGTCGCCCGAGTGACCAGGTGAAGGACGCCCGTGGTGGCTGCATCAAACAGCTCAAGGAGAACCAGCTGGCTTCCCCTTGCGGCGCCTGGGAACAAGACCAGGCACAAGAAGAGCCCAACATGTTCAAAGAATTTCCAACATGTTCATAGCCCAACATGTAGACACTGTGTAGCATCACAACCTTTAGATACCTATAGTAAGTCCCCACCTGGGAGACAAGCGCTTCAACATCTGACCTTGTCAGTTTCAGATGTTGTATGATTCAGTCACAACCTCTTTATGATTCATGTCTTTTCAGGCAGCATGCCACGGTACACCCTCTTCGACCCTCCATCTTGCTCGGGGTTTCCCCGACCCCGTCGGTGGCCACAACGATCTCCATGAGCCACTTCAAAGTGCTGTCCCCACGGCGGAACCTCAGGCCCAACGAACGTGGAGGTGTGGGGGGCACGGGAACGGAGCTTGGGGCAGTCTTGGGTGCTCGAAACAGCATCCTGGAGCCAACTAGCCTTTTTTTCAGCCTATGTTCACCTGCAGGATTCAGCCAAAGCCCGCACTAATTGAAGAAGAAAGACTTCAGCACATGAGCACCCCACTTCTATGTAGGCACGAGTGACTAGGTGCATAGTTCAAACAATTGCATTCACGACCTCACAAATGAGACCAATGATTCCCCTTAGTGGTGAAAAGAGTTTCCAACTCTCAGCATGACTCAGAGGGGAACTGAATTAATGCATATACATTTGCATGTTTCTAGACTCCAACCAGGCAATGTCGGTGCAACTGACCTACATTCACCCCTTAAAACCGTCACACCTCAAGTCTACGAAGTACTGGGCATGATGTAGAATGTCTTGGGACGTGTTGGGCACCACCATTCCTCCACAAATGTTGTAACCCCATGGCGTTTGCCCGCCCACGAGTCCACAAGTCTGAGTCTTCGCCAGGAGGCAATCCAGCCTGGCCCAGCTGATCGTCGGGGTGATGAGTTTGATTAAACTGTTCTTGATCTCTCTCCCCACGAACCTCTTGGTACGCCCTTGTGGTTTGGGTCTTGGGTGGATGTTATGGCTTAACTATCTAACTAGCAGGGATCTCATCAAGGAACATCGGTCATAACCCATTGGCAACTTCAGAAACCCTGAGCGTTTGCCTCCCCCCTTTGGGTTTCTCCCCCTCAGGTTGCTCCGAGAAAAAGAAAAACACCGAAACGCTCGGCACACCGAGCTTTAACCATGCACCGCATGACTCGGAGGCAGAAAGCTCCACATTCGGAACGAAGGTTGGCCTAAAAGCCTTGAAACGCCTAGTGAATGGGTGAATCAGAAAACCCACCGGATCCTGAAATGAGAGCCGATTGTGGGAGGCTGATTTGGGCCCATTTGGTGAAAAAAAAAGACCCCTACAACGCTTCGTTTCCTTTGGGAAGAATCTAGGATGAAGGGCTTCCAATTACTAGGGCGGCGCCATTCTGGAACTTTGGAACACTTTGCAGCGCGACAAAACGAGTTCGGAATTGCTGACCGTGAGCAGCAGACTTGACGCCCTCAAAACCCGTCCCACTCGGATGAGGTGGTCTCTAAGAACTGCTCCTGCTGCAAACGAGGGTGGTGGACAAACCAAGGGTCCTTGTATGCCCCTACCTCTGCTGAAACCGGTGCATCCAAGAAAATGATCCACTCCTTGCAATCCAAAGTACCCTCCGACTCACTTAACATGGAATTGGATTCCATGGCCCTTCCATTTTCCTTTACAAACAGGTGGTTTTCCACTTCCATGTTCGTGTTGGAGTGTCCCGAACACCACCCCAAACGAAAAAACGCCTCTGGCGCCACCTGACTTCACAACCCCCACAGTACCATTCACTCAATGCACTGTACCAGTAAAAACCAGATCGCACCTCTGTGACCCGATCGCACCTCTGTGACCAATCGCCACACCTGCGAACCCAGCACAGTCCTGGGTCGGTCCGGCCAGAACCCAGCTGTCACCACTCGTCCGAGTGTGGGAAGGCCACAACCCCGAGGCTGGGGGTCGATTGGCCAAAAACTTGAGAAGCTTGCAGTAAGTACTGTAGATTTGAAGATCTGCAGTTCGTCATGATAGTGCGAACACCTGATTGAACACCTTGTGGTGACACTGTAATCATTGCTGAACTGGCCCTCCGGGTTTGCTGGGGCTGCATGGGGTAACTGGGTTAATTCCTTTTACACGGTCCGTGGCCGCCAGTCTTTAGCCCAAGACCCTGAAACCCTAAAAAGAAGCCAACGAATGGTGTCTGCATGGGCACCACCTGATCCTGTCGAAAGTGTCCATGAAGAGTGTCCACTATGAAGAGTGTCCACGAATGGCGGGGTGCCCTATCCACTCACTCTAGGGCTTCCATAAACCCCAACATAGAACTGCTGAAACATCAAAAAGAACAACCAATATTATCGAATATTCCCAGACACTCCATGGGACTGCCATATATGCCTACATTGACCCCCCAAACCACCCCAACTGATCGGCATATATGATATATGGCAGTCTCATGGAGTGTCTGGGAATGTTCTATTTTGGGGGGGTTTCCGTGACTCCAGGAGTGAGAACTTTAGGTATTCACCAAGCGGCATGGCGATGCAATGGTTCAGCAAGATCTTGAGGAGCATCACATGGCAGTCCTAACAAACACAGTCGATCCAAACAAGCAAGCCCACTCGGTGACCATGACACCGGACTATGGTGGAGTCTTCTGCCCAAAGCGTCCAACTCCACCATATTCACCAAAAACAAACACAAGGGTGACCATGCTGGGGATGAGCAGACGGTCGCCCCCCAAAGTGTTGACCTGTGGTCAAAACGATCAATTCCCATGAGTTGGTGCCAAACCCAAGGAACAAGGCGAAGGGCTCTCCGGTCTCAGGTGGGTCATTTCTAAGGAACGTCAGGTAGATGGAGAGGCACGCAAGAAACAGGGCAACCCATTCCTATAGATCCGCTACACAAGAACATCTCATCCCCCTTCTGGTCTTTGCAGTCTTTGGGGGTTGACAACCGAAAAATCTGAATCCATCCTTCGCGAAGGCATTCCTCCATCTTTCAGACGATGACTCGTCTCCTTCATGTTGGTGAGGTCTGCGAGGATCATCAAGAGGTGGATCACCAGAACATAGCCCACGAAGTAAAGCCTGGAGCCCGTTTGAAGCGCCCAACAGCCCGTGACTGGTGTCTCTCCGGAGCGCCCTCATGAGGCAACTGGAAGACAAAAACAGCTGCTTTTTTAGGGATCATAACAAGATATCTCTATGTTGGGTGTATCACGGTATATCCTATGGTCCTATTACCAATAACAATGGATGATGACGGTGTGTAAAGGCCTCATTCTGAAATGGTGTTTTGCTTGCTTATCAACTGTTGCAGGCGATAGGAGAGACTCAATCTCTATGGTTCCCCGGACGAAACCATTCGCAGAAAGGTCGGCATGCAACTGAATGCTGTGCCCATCGGACAGCTGTCTACAGCTGAGATGCGTACGCGCATCACTTGTTCATGAATCCCCGCAAACATTTTGTTTCATAAACCTTTTAAGTACGGTATGGGGGATGTTCATAATTATGGTCAACCATTTCTGTATGCACTACAGGCGAGTGGCTCAAGAATGAGCCAATGGCACACTGAACCAGAAAGTGTGGGCTGTAAAATGATAAAATATCTGTCTGTTCGAGGAACGGCGGTGGCATCGATATGACGTGCGTTGATCTCAAACGGCATGGGTGCGAAGCTTCCGGTTTCTTCTGATCTTCGTCAGTCATAAAAAGCTGTATACTGTACGAGGGGCCTCCTGCTGTACGGGGATGATTGCAAGCAGGAATGACCCAGAAGAACACAAGCGCAACGAAAACACATGTACTCAGAACCTGCTCTAGGCTCTTAGCCCCAACCCCCCGTTTTCCCAAACCAAAAAGGAAGACGCACATGCCCCCCACCGCATCCCAACGAAACTGAGGGCCCCCGTGCACGGCCAAAACGATGCCATCTCGGTGAGAGTGGCGGCGGTTCCCTCCACCCAGTCGTGTCTTGACCCTCCATTGGGACTCGTAGATGATGTATACGTTGACCCATGAAATCACCTCACTGTAGGTAAAGGCGGGATGTACCTACGTTGACCAATAAAATCACCTCAATGTAGATATATGTGGTATAAAAATACCATGCATGAAGTGACTGGGAGTGGGACCCCGTGTCCATACATGTCATAAAGCACTCATTCGTGCTTGCCAAGGACACTGGGAGTTCCGGTTTGAACTCCTATTAGTCTCTTCAATTATCCAACCCACATGGTAGCTTAGCCCAAAGAAATGCCTTCCCTTCAAAAATCACACCCCTAATACACCATGCACTGCTTTTAGCATGTGCCATCTTCGCACCATCCTTCGCCCAAGAAATGTACCTCGCCCAAGGCACAAAGGCGGCTGGGACATCGGCTACAGGTGCCGCTGCTGACGAAGCCGGGAAGGCACGCGAAGCCTCGAGCGGGGAGCGTTCGCGCGAGCGTTGCCGCGCCGGGAGCGTGGGCGCAACCAAGGAGACGGAGCAGAAGGAAGGAGTCGGAGGGGAAGGGAAGGGGAGAGTTTTGTTGGGTGTCCTCCCCAGAAAATAGAAGAACACATACTAATCACTTCCATTGCTAACTGGCTCTCTTCCAATCTGGAAGTGGGTCCTTCAATGTGTGATTGTTTTGCATGTTGCACCCACCACACAGCACCGCCCCGCTGCCATTTTTCACTTCCCATCAGCGGTTCCCCATCAACGCGTCCAAGAACACGTTGCACCTTTGATGCATTAGTGCCTACTGTTCAGGCTCTAGAAATTCCTCCAAAAGGGGTTCACTCCCATGCTCAGCTGCATATTCACGGGCCCACCTTGGTTGGCAGTATGTTTGAAGAAGGGTGCCCAAAGCACAAAGAATAGTCAGTAAATGCTCAATTGTTGTTAGTTGTTGTTGTGTTATTCTAGGCAAGGCGCTGCTTACGTGCCATTTGTGCATCAGTCTTCCTCTTGGCTGGATCCGTTTGCTTTTTCCAGGCACTGCTGTAAACCTGAGTTGACAGAGGGAAAACATATAAGTTCATGAAGGATTGCATGCCAAAACTGTCACGGTTTGCTGCTCACAGGCAAGAGGCGCTGTGCAGCTTCCTTTTGAGCTCAGCCTGCCCCAGCTTCTGTGTGGCTGGGCCGTTTGGTGGAGTCGCGCGTGCTTTGGCTTTTGGCTTGCGTGCTGCTGCTTTGGGCTTTGCTTTGCTGGCTGCTTTTGGTTTTCTCTTGGCAGCTGCCTTGGTTTCGGGGCGCTCCTTCTCCTTGGGGTTCTTCTTGGCATTTGCTGCCAATCTGGCTGCTTTGGTTCTCCCAGTGCTGGCCGCTGATGGGGCTGTTGGCGTATTTGGCCCATGAGTTCGAGGTCCATCAGCCGCATCAGCCATCATCATGTTCTGGCGAAGTTTTTTCCTGTCCAAGATCCTCAAGATGGCTGCTTGCACCTCACCCATATTTTCATCCGTGATAGCGGCATCACCATGCACTAGTTCAAGGTCTGCAGCCTCCATCGCAGGATCCAAGAGCATTTGCCTGCGCTCCTTCACCTACAATTTGCCAGTTATGACAGAAATCTCTCAAATTGACAGTTGATCAAGGGCCGAGGCAAAAGAAAGCAAGCACTATACGAAAGAAATCACTTGGCCTCATCATCCCAAAATGTCGGTGCAGGCTTATCACCACAGTGACCACAGCTACCACTGGGGCCGGTGTGGGGGTCCTGGATGAACATGGGGTTTTATACTTTGCACATGTCACATTTCACATTGAACACCTCAACTGTCCTTCAGCGTGCCAGTCTCATCATGCGCACTGTCGCCACCATTGGCTTCACCATCCCCATGCATATCCGCATCGGCTTGCATAGCCTGCTCATGGGTGAAAGCAGCCTGATCAGGCATGGCCGTGTCATCAGGCATGGCCGTGTCATCAGGCATGG